ATTTGAATTTTAGAAATGAGTTATTTTACTTGATAAAAAGAATGAATAAGGTTCAAATTGGCCACTGAACGTAACTTGAAAATGTAATTAGGTCACTGAACAAAAAAAAAAATACAATTAGGCCAATAAACACTCCAAATGTATGTAATTTCACCGGATAGCAGGTTACCATCTATGTTATCTGCTTAGGTGGAAGGTGAGTTGGCATTTTAAACAATTTTTAATAATAAACTTAAAAAATAAAATAAAATAACGTCGGGGTGACCGCCGGCCACTCCCTTACCCCCTTCCCCCTTCAACTCCGGCGGAGACAAAGGAGGGGGTGCCGTGAGACAAATGAACTGTCTCACGCCACCTCCCTTCCCCCCTTCCTTACTCTCCGCCGGAGACGATGGAGTAGTGGGGAAGGGGGTGGCCGGCGACCACCCCAGTGTTTTTTTTTTTAAGTTTATTATTAAAAATTATTTTAAAATGTCAACTCACCACAGGCACCCTGATAAAATGATTGGTAACCTGATATCATGCAAAATTGCGTACATTTGAAGTGTTCAATGGCTAATTGAACTTTTATTTTCTGTTCATTGGCCAAATTGCACTTTCATGTTACGTTCAGTGGCCAATTTAAACCTTATTCCAAAAAAGAATAATTCTTTTCAGAGAAGGAGCAGTGGGACTAACGTATTTAAATTTATAGGGTTGGTCTCCTGTGAAACCATCTCATGTATCTTAAGCGTTACATGCATGCATAGGAGCGGTGGGACTAACGTATTTAATCCAATAAAAATGGATTATAATAAAATTACAAATATAATCAATACTTTATATCATAAATGTAGTAGTTTATAGCAAAGAATTGTTGATAAAGTAAGAACATAGGAGAATTACAAATATAATTAATACTTTAAAATTTAAATATAATACTTTATAGCAAAAGATGTAATATTTTAGATGAAAACTATAATAGACAATTTGCAAGAAATAAAGTGTCATTACTAGTAGAATTGCATATGTAATAAATACTCTAACCCTTGTATATAATACTTTAACACATAAATTAATACTTTAATTTATAAAAAAATTGAAATAGTCAATTTGCATGAAATAATATTACTAAGTCCATATATCATAAGATCCAAATTTTCCTAACTCAACCTGTCTTACAAGAGAATTTTCCAAATATCTGAGATATCTTCCCGTGAGATTGTGAGACACAACATGAATGTACGCAGTCTACTAGAGAGATGAGTGTGTGCAATTTGCCATACATGAGTGCACACAATTTAGTGTGTGTGCATTTCTATAGTAGATTGTGGATGTGTTTGGTTGACAGGTTTAGCTCTAAGGAATGTGTATCAAAGTGATTGGTATTATTTGGTTGATAAGTTTTTAGAACACTACTATGGGTTTCAAATACCACCTTAATTGAAAAATCCATACCCAAATAAAATAAGGTTATCATCCCCCTTAATTCCAATATTCTTTCTCGTCCCCTTTGATTTGTGCTTTTAGATTTTTGTTTTTGTTTTGTTTTTTTTTTTTTTTGTTCATATTAGAGTTTTGGATGTCTTTATATTAGAATCAATTGTCTTGATTTTGTGTTCTTGTATTTTTAAAATCTTTATTCCCATTATAGGATCATACATAATGAAACAACATCATTGATAATCATTCCATTCCACCCTACTACCAAACATGCAAAATACATTCACTAAAACCCATTACCATTGCCAAGTATTTGATACACATTTCGATTACAATCCCCATGTGTGAACCAAATACACCCTGTGTTTATTCATGTTGTGTCTCACAGTGTCATAGGAAGATACCGTCTCACTAGAACATTACCTATATATATATATATATATATATATATATATATATATATATATATATATATATATATATATATATATATATATATATATATATATATATGATCATATAAGAACAAGTTTTTAGGAGAAAACTAAGAACCAATCACAACCTTACATCTGAAAAAATTGGACGCAACCATTTAAAAAAAGTGTAGTGACATTTTCGTAATTACTATTTAAATTTACTATGCAAATGTGAACACTAAAATATGCAATTTTTAGACTTTTCTAGGTTATCACATTTAGTGTTAACATTTTGCACATTTAGTGTTAACATTTTGCATATTTATTATCATTTTCGTAATTACTATCAAATTTACTATGCAAATGTGAACACTAAAATATGCAATTTTTAGACTTTTCTAGGTTATCACATTTAGTATTAACATTTTGCACATTTAGTGTTAACATTTTGCATATTTATAATTAAAAGTTCGCACTTGCAAAAATGCGAAAGTGCATTACAATTTTAGAGTTTTTTTTTTTTTTTTTAATATTACTGGCTCTATTACATTGTAGTATATGTTCATTTACTTTCTCAACCTACTAAAACACAAAGAACCAATAACGCCTCCACTAAGGCTCGAACTCACAATCTTCCAAATGAAAATCCAACTCAGGTACCATTAGATCACATAGTCTTAGTTCAATTTTATTTGGTCAATTTTAGAGTTTATGACTGAGTTTTTTTATTTTATTTGATCTAGTGGTTCACTTTTTATTGCTTAAGGTCTAACATTTATGGTTTAGATTTAAAATTTACCTTTTTATTTATTTATTGATTTTATAGAATTACCAGGGTTGCATATTTAGTTGTTAAAGATTACATATTGAAGTATTAATAAAGTTTGCATATTGGAATTGATGATAATTAAGAAAATGTCACCGCGTCTTTTTTTTTTTTTTTTTTTTTTTTTTTATATATACGTAAAATTTGATCAGATCCATTGAATATTTACAGATGTAATTTCTCTCCCACGTTCCTGTGCGGACGTGCTGTCATGCACTCATGCACCACCATGTATTTAGAAATGAACCAGGGTGGTGCATTTGTGCATTTCACCCTAATGCATTTCTGAACACGTGATGCATTTATGCATACCTCTTGGTGTATGACCGCACGTCCCAGGGTGTAGTATATTTTTGTGGTGCATTTGTACATTTCTGAACATGTTGTGATGTATTTATGCATAACTAATGGTGCATGACCGCATATCCACACAGGAAAATTTGTCTGCATATGATCCAGTATATATATATATATATATATATATATATATATATATATATATTGCACAACTATTTATATAATGGTTATGCATAAATAGTTGTGCAGTGTATCTCAATGATTATTCTAAAAGAAAGAAAGAAACAAAAAAGATAACATTTTGAAGGCGTTGGGCGTACATCCCAATTGCAAGGGGATGGAATTTGCGGTGGATCCAAGAAATTGATTTGGTTTAGGTGTATTAGATTTGAAGAAGGCATTGTTTATTTGGTCATATTCCATGGTGCCTTTTTTTTCCATTTCTAACCCATCATGATTGAGTTGGTTTTTAGTGGTAGCAATAAAATGCTATGTCTCGTTTATTTATATATAAATATATGATGAGATTTGAGAATGTGCATTTTTTATTTTAAAATATTTGATGAACTCTCATTTTATACTTTTAACTTTTACTTCTTCATATGTTCTTAATGTATGTAGATATTTTAATTTTCTGTGGACCAGCATGATGAAAATAACCAATCATTGTTTGTTACCTTAGGGATTAGAAACAGGGGAGTAAAATGTGAGAATATTTGGAAGAGTCTTAAATTTATAAGCTAATTGTCTCATCTAAAAGAGTTTCTACAATTTAACGAGGGAATTAATCGCTAAAAAAAATGTGGGAATATGCATATTGTAAAACACCTTTTCATTTATGGCTTTCCTCGTCCTCGTGCACCAACCAACTACGCAACTCAACCAGAATAGCCCAACAACCACAGCAATGCCCCTTCTCCCACCAACCCCCTTTGTGTGAGTGGTATGCATGTTTGCCCCATCATTTTGGAGGATTCCTTTCCAATGAATATGCGTCACAATATTTTAACAAATTAATATGGCAAAACTATTAATTAAGCCCCCACCCCACCCCACACCCTTGAATTTCTTTTCATGTTTTCTTAGAGTCAAAGTTTCATAATTATTTGGCCTGGTTTTGATTATTTAATTTTGTTCTTACATCGAAAAATACCCTTTCCAAGCTAGGATAAAGTTTCAGCAAAAAAAAAAAAAAAAAGTCATTAGAAAGACAAAACTGTCTAACATATGATAGTTTGGGGTACTAAATGACAAAATCGATTATCCGAGACTAAATTTGAAAATGCTACCAAAGACAATGGGCTTCTGCTGGAATTAAATTATTTAAAAATTTTGAAGAGACGAAAATACCTTATTCTAAAATGGGGTTTCCATGGAAAAGTAATCAGATGGACCAAATATGTCTAAAATATGATAGTCCGGATTGTTAAAGGACAAAAACGATAGTGTAGAACTAAATTTGAAATTGTCATCAAAGACAAGGAACCTCCCTTGAAATTAATTAATTAATTAATTAATTAATTATATATATATATATATATATATATATATATATATATATATATATATATATATATATATATATATATATATATAATTGATGACAAAATATGCATATTCTAATTAAGAGCATTTTTTGCTAAGAAAAATACTAGGCTCTGTTTGGCCGAGCTTATTTAGTAACTTATAGCTTATTTTAAGCTACTAATAAGCTAAGCTCTGTTTGGTAATGTTTCCAAAATAAGCTCCTAGCTTAAAATAAGAGCTTATTTGGAACGCTACCTTAGGTAGCGTTTCAAAATAAGCTCCTAGCTGTTAGTCCATATATTTATTATGTCTTTTATTATATGGTTTTATATATTGTTGTTGTAACTTAGTGAGAGATCTAGTCTTTAGCCTGATAGTTAGTTTTCTCTCTTAAGATTATATTTGTAATCTCTGTTCTGTTATTCAGTTGAGTTAATCGTTTCCACTCTCATCTGGTATCAGTTAGCCAATAGGAATCCTAGGATCCAATTCTCTCTCCTCCTCCTTCGACAATGTCGCAAAGCTCCGAGAGAACGATCACCACCACCTCCGTCTCCTCCCCAAATCCTCCGAATTCTTTACCGAGTGCACATCATTTTGTGTCACTCAAACTAACTCACCGCAATTATCTGTACTGGCGCACCCAAATCATCCTGTTTTTACGTGGACAACACCTACTTGGATTCATCGACGGTTCGCGCCCATGTCCGTCGTCGGTTCTGGAAGTTCCCGCCAGTGAGACTTCGGACGACGCTGCATCCGTGACGGCAAATCCAGCGTATGAGGCGTGGCTGGAGCAGGATGCCTCCATTCTCTCCCTTCTCATCTCCTCCATCTTTGATGAGGTGATGTATTTGACGCTCGGGCAGACCAGGTCTCGCGGAGTGTGGCTCGCGACGGAGACGTAGCTTCCTAACTTTTTTTCCATCTTTATCCTTATTATTTTAAAGAAATTACATAATTACCATTCCCAATTAAACCACTTTTCTCTCCTCCTTTATCCACAACTTCCACTGTAATTATTATTATTATTATTATTATTATTATTATTATTATTATTATTATTATTATTATTATTATTATTATTATTATTATTATTATTATTATTATTATTATTATTATTATTATTATTATTATTATTATTATTATTATTATTATTATTATTATTATTATTATGAGATTTGCAACAATATTGCTACTTCATTATGAGATACTAGATCATGATTATGCTAATAGTTTTATTTCAAAATGTTAATTTGTTTTTAAAGACAAAATGTTAAATTTTAATATGTAAACAAACTAATTTAAATTTTATGAAAATATCATTTTTAGTCTTTTTACATTTATCAGCTTATTAAAAAACTAATTTTACCAAATACTTTCAATCATAACAGCTAGCATAACAGCTCTTCAGTTTTCAGCTCCGAGCTTATAGCTTTTCAGCTTTCAACTCCTAGCTTATAGCTTTTTAGCTAGGTTTGCCAAACAGAGCCTACACATCTGCAGCTCCTAGCTTATAGCTTTTCAGCTAGATTTGCCAAACAGAGCCTACACATCTGCCTAAATAATGTTAGACTTTTGGCAAAATGTCATTGGTTTTAGAACCCATAGACCTAATTTTACAATTAAAATGGCAGTGCATATAACAAAATTCAAAATAAAATAAAACAATTGTACTGTAATTAATTAAAGCATCATTATTTATTGGAGCTTCCCATTGAGATGTGTTTGAAAAAACCTGCATGTGTGGAGATGAAAAGAGAGAAGATAGGGAGTGAAGGTATTTATGTTAATTTGATTTTTGGCATGATTTAGTTTGAAACATGGCATGATTTTTAAGGAGGGGAAAAAAAAAAAAACTCGCATGATATACAAATGTACATGTATCATGTATGAATGTTCTCACCCTCCTTTTTATTTTTTATTTTTTAATTTTTTATTCATCTCTCTCTTGTTGTTGAGGCCCAACTCTTGACAAATTAAAACCCCCAACAAAATCACCTTTTATTTGTTGCGAGTCACGCAATCGACTCACCGATCAGATCTTAACCTTCAATGTGCACAAGGGATCCAGTCTAGATCTTTCATCGTCCTTAGACCTTTTTTCTACCTCTAAAAAACACACATTCCTTGCTTTTACTCTTAAATGCAAGAGAATACTAGTCAGAATCGACATGGTATTCTACCCCACAGATGTGGCGATTTTACAATTAGGACCGACTGAATAGGAAAATATTTGGAGGACTCTCATTTTATACTTTTCATTTTTATTTTTTTTCATTAATTCTTGATGTAAACATTTTTTTGTGAACCCAAATGATGAAAAATAATTTCTTTTTATTTGTCAAATGAATAAATAAAAATAAGAGAGTAAAATTTGAGAATATGCATAATATCATAGTTTCTCTGATCAATCGGACAGATTTGTAGTGTATTGTTTAATTGTTTACTTCTGTTTAAAAAAAAAAATTGGTTTACTTCCGAGTCTGACAGACTGTACCAAGGAGGGGCCTTTTGTCTGATCAGCAAATCCCTCAGGCTGTCCTTATCCCTGCAAACATCTCCCACTCTCAAAAATGGGTCCCACTTCTACATCATCCCATTTGCAAATCATCTACTATTCACACTACATCCCTACAAATCTAATCAACCTTCAAAAGTGGGCCCAATATATTAAAATAATATTATTAATTATATTAAAATATTAAAAAGTACAAAAAATCAAATAAAATTTAAAAAAATATATACAAAAGCTGTCGCGGCAGCTTTTTCAGGGTTTGCAAATTTGCTTGCAGTGCAAATTTGCAAACCCATTTCATTAAAAAAATAAAATAAAAAATGTATATGTGGCTTTGCCACATCACTTTGCAAAGAAGAGTTTGGCTGGGATGTGGACAGCCTCAATTTCTTCAGCTTTTGCTAATGAGTCATGAACCATATTTTTATGAAAAATATTACTTCAACTCTTAAATTTTGTTTTATAGAGAGTATAATTTTATTTTTTCATTTAAAATTTTGATTTTAATATTTTTTTAAAATTCACAAGATAAAAATAATTTATCATCTCTTACTACATCAAAAAGTAAAAATTTAAAAATAATAAAAAAATTGAGATTTTTAGTAAAACTCCATAATATTTTCATGACAAACAAGTTGAGTGGAGCTCAAATTTGGTATGCTTGAATTCAAATTTGAAATAGTTATCAAACGCCTTGTGGTCGAGCGGCATAGTTGTGACCCCTCACATTGAGAGGTCTTAGGTTAAAACCCCAGTGTGGGAGAAATTTAGAGTTAATAGTATAAAAAAAAAATTAAAATAATTAATGAACTTGAGTTGGAATTTTATGGACAGAAGAAGTCTTCATCCCTTCTAATCAATCTGTAGTTGGAGCAAGACTTCCAAGATGATCCTTAAAGGTTTAAACCATTGAGTTAAGCTCCGCGGGCCAACTCGACTACTCGAGTTAGAATTATATATATATATATATATATATATATATATATATATATATATATATATATATATATATATATAAACCAAATCTAACGATTTTAGAGTAAAAAAAAACACAGAGGCATTTTGATTATTTTTTTTAACCTTAAAAGTGCGTTGTAGTGTGAAAAGTACAATGTACTTACGGTTCACTTTTTAGAGTTTAATATTAGTTTATTGTTTTTTTTTTTTTTTTTTTGTTTTGTTTGTTTGTTTTTTTTTTGATTTATTGGTTTATTTTTACTACTTAAAGTTTAATATTTACGATTTAAAAGTGCACACTCTAATACTATACGATGCATTTTGCACTATACTTGTATATTTTGACTAGTTTGAAAGTGCAGTGTACTTAAGGATTACATTTTAATTAGAATTTATGGTTTAATTTAGTATTTCGGTTTATAGTTGATTTATTGGTTTACTGATTAACTTACGGTTTAAATTTAGGATTTAGTTTTTTAATTTAAATTTTAGGGCTTATCTAGAAATAAACTCTATAATATAATGTTAAAAAAATTGAATTCTAGAGCGTTAAAAATTACACTTTTAAAAATTTTAGATAAAGTTTGCACTATATATATATATATATATATATATATAATATATATATACATATATATATATATATATATATATATATATATATATATATATATATATATAGTGAAAGGTTCCCGTGCGGATGTGCGGTGAATTAATGTGCGTGAGATTTGTACTCAATGTGCGTGAGTGTTGTGTTTAATGTGCCTGAGATTTGTACTTAATGTGCGTGAATGTGTAAAATGCAACAGAAAATATTGATGCCAGCTTCTTCCCCATCCCCAGTAGCCATTTTCCCCCTCCCTGATGATGATGATGCGGATGCGAGCTATGGTGGTTAAAAATTATGGGAATAATACAACTGAAATCCACACTTAGCTATTTTGCAAATTTTACTGTGCTGCGTCATTTATATAAACATTCAACTGCACTGAAGGTAGCTGATAATTCAGAATCCATGGCCAAATTGAAGGAAGAAGTAACAAGAAGCTTGGGCGTTAATGTGCGTGAGCTTCTGTTCTGCTTCCTTTTGAGCTCATAATTCTGAAATACGCACGCGCACAAATCTCACGCACATTGAACACAATACTCAGGCACATTAAGTACAAAACTCACGCATATTAACATGACGCACATTAAGTATAAATCTCAGGCACATTGAGTACAAATCTCACGCACATTAAGTATAAATCTCACGCACATTAATCCACCGCACATCCGTACGGGAAGTAACAAATGCACCTGATCCCTTCCCTATATATATATATATATATATATATATATATATATATATATATATATATATCAAATCATATAAAAACTCACGCCAGGTGCGTATGTGCACTTCCTAACACTTCCGCATGCATGTTCTAATATATTTGTGTACTTAAGTCATGGGACTCTAAAATTTCATCTTATAGCAATACTACATGTGAAGAGAAGATTTTTATACTTATAAATATGAAAGAATGCGCTTGATAGTGTTGCATCCAGAGTGCACTTAGAGTATGAGACACTTACCAAAAGGCCAATGTGTTTTTTACTTAGCTTGTTCCAAATTCATTGATCTTTCGAGACGACATATAAGATTGATTCTTAGTTTTATATTAGACACCAATTTTCACTTGAGCGTGACCATATATATATATATATATATATATATATATATATATATATGTGTGTGTGTGTGTGTGTGTGTGTGTGTGTGTGTGTGGTGGTGTTGGGGGAGGGGGCTCACGAGAGGCACAAAAAGCCATTAGTCAAAAAGTAATTTTAAAATCAAACTCGGCTCAAGTTTTTAAATTTTATCAAACTTGAACCAAGTTTTGACCGGATGACTCACAAGATGCTTGATCGAGTTGTTTGCACACCTATTTTCATCTTTTCCTAACACATAGTATCTTCATAAATTGTTTAAAATAAAAGGAAAATAAATTAAATAATTTTTAAAATATAAGTTAGAATTGTTAGCTTGACTTTTGGTTCTAGTGTCCTGATAACAACCAGAATATATATATTTTTGGTTTGAAAATATGGTTAGCGGTGTGGCGATGCAACTCATCCAGATTTTGTCTCTATTTAGCATTTTAGACTTGAGGGATGCAGACAAGCTATTTAATGAGACATTAAAGACTTTGTACAACTTTTCCTTCTTTCATTTTCATGTGAGGACGTTACCATGCAATTTAACTTTGATTTCTTATTTTCGTTGCCCACAATTCTTCAACCATACGGGTTGAAATTTCCCCAATATTATTTAATTTTTCTGCACCAATTAAATTTCAAGTTCTTCAATTCCTCCAACATCAATATTTTCTTGTTCAATTTCCGTGCATTTGAATGACACCTCGATTTCACATTGGCTTGAAATTCCTC